GATGATGATGATGATGATGATGATGATGATGATGATGATGATGATGATGATGATGATGATGATGATGATGATGATGATGATGATGATGATGATGATGATGATGATGATGATGATGATGATGATGATGATGATGATGATGATGATGATGATGATGATGATGATGATGATGATGATGATGATGATGATGATGATGATGATGATGATGATGATGATGATGATGATGATGATGATGATGATGATGATGATGATGATGATGATGATGATGATGATGATGATGATGATGATGATGATGATGATGATGATGATGATGATGATGATGATGATGATGATGATGATGATGATGATGATGATGATGATGATGATGATGATGATGATGATGATGATGATGATGATGATGATGATGATGATGATGATGATGATGATGATGATGATGATGATGATGATGATGATGATGATGATGATGATGATGATGATGATGATGATGATGATGATGATGATGATGATGATGATGATGATGATGATGATGATGATGATGATGATGATGATGATGATGATGATGATGATGATGATGATGATGATGATGATGATGATGATGATGATGATGATGATGATGATGATGATGATGATGATGATGATGATGATGATGATGATGATGATGATGATGATGATGATGATGATGATGATGATGATGATGATGATGATGATGATGATGATGATGATGATGATGATGATGATGATGATGATGATGATGATGATGATGATGATGATGATGATGATGATGATGATGATGATGATGATGATGATGATGATGATGATGATGATGATGATGATGATGATGATGATGATGATGATGATGATGATGATGATGATGATGATGATGATGATGATGATGATGATGATGATGATGATGATGATGATGATGATGATGATGATGATGATGATGATGATGATGATGATGATGATGATGATGATGATGATGATGATGATGATGATGATGATGATGATGATGATGATGATGATGATGATGATGATGATGATGATGATGATGATGATGATGATGATGATGATGATGATGATGATGATGATGATGATGATGATGATGATGATGATGATGATGATGATGATGATGATGATGATGATGATGATGATGATGATGATGATGATGATGATGATGATGATGATGATGATGATGATGATGATGATGATGATGATGATGATGATGATGATGATGATGATGATGATGATGATGATGATGATGATGATGATGATGATGATGATGATGATGATGATGATGATGATGATGATGATGATGATGATGATGATGATGATGATGATGATGATGATGATGATGATGATGATGATGATGATGATGATGATGATGATGATGATGATGATGATGATGATGATGATGATGATGATGATGATGATGATGATGATGATGATGATGATGATGATGATGATGATGATGATGATGATGATGATGATGATGATGATGATGATGATGATGATGATGATGATGATGATGATGATGATGATGATGATGATGATGATGATGATGATGATGATGATGATGATGATGATGATGATGATGATGATGATGATGATGATGATGATGATGATGATGATGATGATGATGATGATGATGATGATGATGATGATGATGATGATGATGATGATGATGATGATGATGATGATGATGATGATGATGATGATGATGATGATGATGATGATGATGATGATGATGATGATGATGATGATGATGATGATGATGATGATGATGATGATGATGATGATGATGATGATGATGATGATGATGATGATGATGATGATGATGATGATGATGATGATGATGATGATGATGATGATGATGATGATGATGATGATGATGATGATGATGATGATGATGATGATGATGATGATGATGATGATGATGATGATGATGATGATGATGATGACGGGTAGGGTATTATAGGGTAGAGTAAGGTAGGGTAGGGTATTATAGGGTAGGGTATAAAAAGGTGGGAGAGAGGGTATAGGAAGGAAGGAGAGGAATGGAAGGGAAGAGAAGAAGCGGGGAGGGAAAAGACGGAAAACACATAGGATAGGGTAGGGACAGAGGGGGAGGAGAGGGAAGGAGAGCGGAAGAAAGATAGTGTAGAAGAGAAAGAAAGGGAAGGAAGGAGAAGGAGGAAGGATAGAGAAGGGGAGGGGAGTAAACGAAAGAAAAGTGTAGCAGAGGGAAATAGATTACGGGAGTGAGAGACAAAAGAGGAGAGAAGAGAAAGTAAGGAGCTAACGAGAGGAGGGAGGGAGGGAGGGAGTGAGGGAAAGTAGCCAAGGAAAGAAAGGAAGGAAGGGAGCATAGCGTAGAGCAGGGGAGTGAATTCATAAGGAAGCGGAGATCAATGAAGTGCTCGGGGAATGGGGAAGGAGTGGGTGATGCCGACAGGACAACACGTTTCGTATTCCCACGCTAAAAAGACCTCAAACACCAAGTCCT